ATTATCATCATCACAGAAATAATAACATGGTCTACAGAATAATACAAACAATTAACAAGATATTACACGTTCATTACAGATCTAAGTTAGAATACTTTATACAATAAAATAAATAAATTCCAGACCATAATCTAAGCCAACTTATTCGTGACAATAAATAATGTTCAGTATTAGAATTAAACTATCAAATACGATAGTTTAAATCTCGCGAGACGAAATCGTGGATACTCATTGATGAAAAGTCCCACACTAGAACGAAATGCCCATCCATTGCTTTCAAGTTTTTCATGGTAGTTTAACTTCAATTGACTCATGATCTCAACCATTAAAATTATTATCATATCCATAAAACCCTCTCTGAGAATGCTAGTGTATTATATATCAAATCGTTTTAGTTTAACTCTATTAACAAAAGTTTATCCAATTAAGTAGTTCATTTATTTTTAATGGAGAAAAAGAAAAAAGAAACTTAATTATCAATGAAATCAAAGTTTTTACATTCATAATAAAAAAGGAGGATGTTAAAAGTGACAAATTTAATAATACCCTAAAGGTATATGTTATATAATTCAAAGAATAAATGAAACAGTCACTCTGATGTGATTCATATATATAGATAGGTAGATAGATATAGATATAGATAGATAGGTAGATAGATAGAAGATATAAATTTATTCGGAGTTTTAGACCTACTAAGAGACAATTCATTATGTATTTTTAAAAAAAGAAGAGAAGTTTAAGAAACACCTCATTTATTCGTTACACGAATAGTCTATCAATTCAAGCGTATTATTACTTCGTGCTTTTCTGTTGGTTGAATTTTATGCTTAATTGACTAAAACGTCAATGTGTGAACTTCTTTCTTTATATTCTATTTATATATTCAATGATTCTTCTTTTATTATAAATGTTTATCTCTTTGATTGGCTTATTTTATAGTATGTATTCTTTACATTATTTTAACTTTTTCATAAATGTTTTACACTCCCATTATCCCTTTTCTTTTCTCTTATTTTTTTTCTTTTTTTTTGGTAAATAAAATGATATATGCATCACTTTATGATGTCAGTCTTTAAAATATCATGAAATTAAATGTTCACAAAATAGTTCTATTAGATTTTTGTCTTGTAAAACACTTTGTTCATTGAATATAAAAGAGAAAATCAAAAAAAAAGAAAAAGAAAAAAGAAATGAAAATAGGGTGAGAGGGGAGTAGATAGAGATAATTTATTATTTCATTAACATTACTACTTATTATTACTTACAAAACATTGATAAATAATTAATATAATTATCATTAATATGAAAATGCTTTCTAAGTATAATCATCAATAATATAGACATAATGAATTCTAATTAAATAATTATGATTTAAATATAAATATTTTTAAGTTGAAAAAAAACGAGATAACTATGAAATAATAAAGAACATAGAATTTAACATCAGTCAATAAGTTTAGATCAAAAATGTACCAAAATATAAGTAAAACAAAAATTTCGCGGGGTGCAGGATCATGGATGCGCATTGCTGAGGAGTCCCATACTAGGACGAAATGGCCGTTCAGTGCTTCCAGGTTTTCCATGGTGGTCTAGCTTCAATTGACTCATAATTTCAATCAACAACTTAACAATCTTCACAACACCTAAACTGATAAAGATATAATGTTAATTGAATAATAAAAGGGATGATTTTCAATAATTCAGCTTTATCAAGCATAACATTATATGTTTATTTGATTTCATGCAGAATAATTGTAATAAAATATAAAAAAAAGAAATCAGGTCAGTTAGATGATAATATTATTATTATTATTACATAATAAGCTGTGTGTATATATGTTGAAAGGATAATATTTATTAGATAAAAATGAAAACTGCATGCATAATATACTTATTTAACAAAAATTTAATCACTAAGACAAAATTGAAACAAACAGATGGTTTTGTTTAAGTAGTTTAATATTGTCATCTCCACATGATACATAAATTTGATGCTTTAGGGCAGTAGCAATAAGTTTGTGTTGAATAGATTAGTGTTTCTCTTTTTCTCTTCTAATTAAGTACGATTACAACAAAAGAACATTTTAATGTTAAGCTGAAACATTCTATCTTTCTAATGGCGTTTTATTTAAATGCAACAATATCAAGTCACTGATACTTTCTGGACTTAAAGTTGACTAAATTCGTATGGATTTGTATTATGTTTATTGCCAATGACTATTTTGATTAATCTAGTTGTAAGGCTTTGAATCTTCTCGTTTTTAGTGTTAAGAACTATATTTAATCAATCACTTTGGTCTTATTTACATCCTGAGCTTATTGGCAAAACAGTGACATTAGTCACAAGTATTTCTAAGCAAAGTTGTTTAGTGGATAGTAGTGGAATCCAAGAAAAATTCAAATGATGAGTTTCATATTGTGCGAAACATGCATCTTCCATTCCACTACTAACCGCTATTTAACTCTGTCTAAAATAGTTTTCTGACTGCCTAACTATACATACAATATAAAGAATGATGAGGAGAATTGGACTTTTAGTTAGTTTAAAGTCCAAATGATGTTAACTGAATTAAATTTATTGAGAATAAATACTAATTATGCATTATTTAAGAAGTATTCACAATTATAACTGTAGTTAATGACCTAACTCAGAATTTTTTAAGTTTTTCCAGTTTTTGTTTCAATATATTTTGGCTTCATTTAAGTATCTTTTATAAAGTCAGTTAAATTATCAGTAAAAGCAGGGATGATGTCAATCATAATTAAGCTTGTTATATACACGGATACACTTTTGTAGGTAAGTTGTTTGGTTTAATTTTGTGAATCTCATTTTATTAAAAGTAGTTCGATGAAAAACACAAGAAGAATTTGTTAAACTCAGAAACTGTGATTAAATGGTACAAATTTAAATGGCCATACACAAAAAGTAGCTAGAACTTAAATCAGTTTACTCAACAACAACAACAATAGAAACACTGACTGTGAAATAGAATTATTTATTTCTTGAAAGAGATTAGATCAAAAAGGCTTTGAAAGTGCTAACATGTCTACTAGTTACAGTTTAATTGTTCACTATTCGTAGCATGGTATAGTAGAAAATGTTCCACACGAACAATGCTTTACTAGTACAGTCACATGAATGGGAAACAACATCTACTACGTCACATTTAGAAATCATAAAAAATTTTTATATACTGACAGTCAGACGTTAATAAAGTTAGAATTGAGAGGTGAATTAATTTATACAGATTGATGTTTGGATTAATAATTTTCTGGTTACTCTTTATAAATCTCAAAGTAATAATTTAAAATTTATGTTGCTAAAAAAGTCTAAATGTATTTTTGGTGCTTCTTAAGTGATAAGAGTGAAATCTGTTTATTACATAACATCTCCATATTTTGATGGAGTTTTTTTCTCTGAGCTGGATGGTTTGGTCGAGAAGCTTTCATAGTTCTTCTGAACGAAATCATCATCACAAACTTCAGATAGAAGTGAAGTGTTCGAATTTCCTCATATGTGTTTCACAGCTTGTTCTGTGCACTTCGATGTTGATTGGTTCTTATTGACCTTAAATTCGTCATTGGCGCTCAGGTCAATCAGCAATCAACAAGCATATTGAAATCAATCCAGTTTACCAACCAATCAGGAAAATCATGCACAAATATAGGAATAAGAATCAAACCAATGGGAGACACAACCAAAACGAAGAAGTAAACAATGACAAATTTAAGGTCAATAAGAACCAATCAACATCGAAGTGCACAGAACAAGCTGTGAAACACATATGGAGAAATTCGAACACTTCACTTCTATCTGAAGTTTGTGCTGATGATTTCGTTCAGAAGAACGATGAAAGCTTCTCGACCAAACCATCCAGCTCAGAGAACAAAACTCCACCAAAATCATACACCTGAGCTCTACCATCTCAATATCTCCATATATTCAAACCAAAACTCAAAGCTCTCCTTGATGTAGTTCTTAACATATACATATTTTATATGCAGAGTAAATGGTGTATAATTCCATCAAGGCCACTATGGCATCCCCTTTGAATATTTGGGCTACCTATTCCCATCTGCTTTTTATGTTTGTTTTAACACATGTTTTAAAACATTAGTCGCATAACCTATTCAAGTGTGTTTGCGAAAAGTTTAAGACATTTCTCTGTACAACTTACAAAACAGCCCAATCAGAGTCATCGTGGTTACTGGCAATATATATCTAAAAGATTGTACATTATTCAGATAAGGATTCCTGAACTGCTAACATCTAACTGGCGGCCATTCAATATTTATAGCAAGGATCAAAATAAGAAAAGGAAACCTGTTGAAATACTTTTTGCTGAGAATTTTATATTGTACCAAAAATATAATACTGAATAAAGCCATCGATAATAATGATAATAACCTTTCTGAATAATTGCTGATGTTGCCTAAAAATACAGAATTCGGAAGAATTCAGTCAATTTTTATTTTGGACATTCATATATGGACTGAGATATGATCTATTCTACTTATACTTCTTTTTAACAAGTACACTTCATATATTTTATTTATCAGAAAGATTTATTGGTTAATTATATTTCTTTTTAAAACTGTTTACTATCTTTTTCACCCCTTATTGAACAAAAGAAAAACAAACAAACAACCGAAATAGTTCTGATTTAACTTTATTTCATTTTTTCAATTAGTTTAATGGTAATTGATTAAATACATTAAAACGATCATCTTTTCAATTCACTGATAACTTCGTATATGCGTGTATATATATATATTACTGTATATTAGAGTAAAGTCTGATGAGGATCTAATCAAGAACAATATTGTTCGCTTATATATGTTGTTCTAGATCATTAATAATAATAATCTTTTCATATAATTAAGTATTTTCAAAATTATGTATTTATTATCAATAATCGATTATTGTTATCCATAATTATTGATTATTATTATTATTATCATCAATAATAATAGTACATTTGCTTTTGACAAAGAATTTATTAACTATCAGATGTGTTTTGAACAAAAATGTTCTCTTTAAATATTGTTTTATCCAGTTTTTGTATTGATGCATTCAATAGTAGAAGGTGATTACATCTGAAAGTAGAAAAAAGAATTAATTCATAAAATGTTAAGAAATTCGGAATTCATATCAGATGAGTTTTTGTGGATATTATAATAATTTCAATAATTGATATCATGAGTCAATTGTAGAGAGACAACTATTGAAAACCTGGAAGAACTGGATGGTCATTTCGTCCTATTTTAGGACTCTTCAGTATGGCGCATCCACGATCCCAACTCGCGAGATTTGAACCTAGAACCTATTAGTCTTGCGCACGAGTGCTTAAACAAGAAATATGAAATACGAAGTTGGTAATAAGAAAAACTATATTGTTAATGATTCAGACTGTTTCAAAAATGAACTAAAACCATATTATTCAAGGTATTGTTTCAATTTCTAGTAATATGACTTTGAGATACAACAGGTAATGTAACTGGACAAATGTTATTCTTCTTTCGAATAAACGAAAGAAATTCAGAAAGGGTTTTGTGGAGATTTTAGTAATTCTGTGGTTGACTTCACTAGTCGATCTCCGCAAAACCCCTTTTGATAATAATCATCATATGTTCACTAGTGACTGGCTTCAAGAGGTATTTACTGGAGTCCTAGTGAGAAGCAGTAACCAGTGGATACCAATCGGGTTTGTTGTGAGATAGTAACTCATTGAAGACTATGGTGGATACGTCGCTCAATTTCGTGGATTAGATGAAGTTAGACATAAACACCATTGGATGCTGGCTCAGTGGTCTAGAGGTCAAGCGTTCGCTCGCGAGACTTATAGGACATGGGTTCGAATCTCTAGAAGCGGGATCGTGGATGCACACTGATGAGGGGTCCCACAATAGGACGAAACGTCCGTGCAGTGTTTCTAGGTTTTCCATGGTGATCTATCATCAATTGATTCATGAATTCAACTATGAAATAAATCCAGTTGAAAAGATCGTGGTCATATAATACTGAAGGAGCCAATGACGGCAGAATTTCAAAACGGACGGGGCATAGTTGTATTTAAGAACAGATAGCAAAATATTTGTATATATTGTGTTAAGATTTCTATAGAACATTACTTTAACCATTTTCTCTAGCACTACAGAAAAGCTTGCTTGTTTTCATACCATCTATTGTGTTTAGTTATATTATATAGCCATACTATGTTATTCAAAATGGACTCATATACATCAACTTCTTGTTTCAGACTAATCTTAATATGTTAACAGCGGTGAGCTTGTTGTTAAATGAACAACTTTTAACATGTACTCTAGTCTTTCATTAGTGAACTTTTAATACTAAAAGTTTCATTCATTATTTATTATTCATTTTTTTAAAAATTATCCAAGCCAAAAAATCGACAGTCCTTATTGTTATAACTCTGTCTATAACAAAGCTTAGTATTGACCATTTCATTGATATTCTTGGAACAGTTTGATTGATCGCAAGTTTTAGTTAAATGAGTTTTTATTAAAATTTAGTTATGATCCGAAAACAAAAAATTCTAAAAAAAAAATTTCTAAAATAGATATTTGAATTCTACACTGGATAGATATCATATCAAAACTGTATTATTACTATGTTAAAATGATATTTCAACTATATCCAACAGTTTAGCAGTACAACATTAGCTATAACATGTTATTTTAAAAACAGGTAATATTTATTAAATAGTTTAATTATAACGGAACTAGTATTAAAGCATCCTTTAGATTGAATTTCATATGGGTAACTTTCAGCATTTAAAGTCTAGATTTTAATGATTGAAATCTGATTACTTGGAATTCACTATTTGCATCATAACCTTTTACACTTTTTCCCCTTTTACTGTTTTGTATAATGAACTATTTATTGTAGGGTGACATACGAAAAAATATAGAAGATAAATTCATTATTTTGATCCCATTTCAATTAGGTTGTGTACTAGTTATTTTGATCTATCTATCGATAATAAAAAGAACAAATATATGATTGGCTTTGTTTCTAAAAAAGTTTAATTCTATATGTCCATGGAAGCTATTCATTATGAGATGGTGGAGAAGATTTGTAACTCAGGTGGATGATTTTGATAAATTTTTGTTCTCTGAGTCGGATGGTTTGGTTGTGGAGGTTTCATCCTTCTTATGAACAATATCATCAGCACAAACTTCAGATAGAAGTGAAGCGTTCGAATCTATTTGAAGTTTGTGCTGATGATATCGTTCATAAGAAGGATGAAACCTCCACAACCAAACTATCCAGCTCAGAGAACAAAACTCCATCAAAAGCTATTCATTATATTTAATTTTCAAAATTTGGTTAAAAAAAGACTTCTCACCTTGATATATTATTTGGATGAGTAATCCATTCATATTGGGTTAATTGTAATCTTAATTGTTTTTGAATATAATCAATACTTTCAGTTCTGGATATTTCTAATGGATCCACATTGAAGAGAAGAATCATTTTCAATAAATTCAACTCAGTGATATCAGGCTGTCAGGATTGTAGAAAAAAATTAGAACCGAAAATATAATTCATTGGAACAAAAACATCCAAAAACTTAAATTAGTTTGATTGAAACTTGACACAACGGAACTTAGGACTTCAGCTTATAATGTCATACTGCTGATTTCAAAAATATTTACGAGTACAGTTTATGTCTCACTCACTAGTAAAATATTGATGCATTTGTCACAATATATGTTGTTAAACTGTATAGATATTTGCATACCAAGATCCTAAGTTTCTTGACAGCTACTTCCAACCACCCAACATCTCAAAATAATGTACGCGATTTCTATTTACTAAGATTGGTGGCCATAATTTGTCATGATTGAAAGAGTTCGATCAACGCTAGAGGACTAGATGATCGTGACATTGGGCATTATACGGCCGTGAATATCTCAGTACGGTAAGAGGTCAGTTGCAGTCTAAATAGCCGAGTTGTAACTTTTCAGATTCTGAAGTTAAGTGATGCAGGTACCAATCAAATAAAGTGAGTCAGTTTTCTGATGAATGTAAGTATATTTTGATTAGTGTCAAATATCATGAAACCTAGTTTTAAAATCACACAAATATGTGGTTATTTGGAGACATTTAAATTTGTCCATATTGAGAACAATTGGATTTACGATGGAAAATAGTCATAGATCCATTATCGAAAGAAGTATACTTTTTGAAATTGATTTACAATAATTAAAGTAACTAACACGTACAATAAAACTTCGAAATGAGGACCGTAGTCATATAAAGCTGCTTACTCTCCCTCTTACTCTTTCTCCTGGTGAATGACTGGATTATGAAGACCTGCACATCTGACGGAAGCACGGAACAAAATAGACAGCTCGGAATTAGCTAAACGGTTCGGACTTCACAGATGACGTAGCTCTTCTATCTCATACACACGAACAAATACAGGTGAAGGCAGCCAATGTAGAAGCAGTCTCTGCATCAGTAGGCCTCAACATAAACAAAGGAAAAAGCAAGATCCTTAGTTGAAACACGGAGAACACTAACCCAATCACACATGATGGAGAAGCTCTGGAAGATGTGGAATATTTCATGTACCTGGGAAGCATTATCGATGAGCAAGGAGGAACAGATACGGACGCAAAGGCGGGGATTGGCGAAGCAAGGTCCGCATTCCTACGGTTGAAGAACATATGGAACTCAAAACAACTGTTAACCAATATCGAAGTCAGAATCTTCAATACGAACTTCAAGACAGTTAGTTCTACTGTATGGAGCCAAAACTTGGAGAACTATTACAACTATCGTCTAGAAGGTTCAAGTATTTATAAATAGTTGTCTACGCAAGGTACTCAATATCCGTTTGCTGGATACAATCAGTAACAGCCTAATGTAGGAGAGAACAAACTAGCTTTCGGCCTCAGCGAAAATTAGGGTAAAACTATGGAAGTGCAAATCACCAAACTGCATCGCGAGGCAGGCGCTAAATTGGAATCCTGAAGGGAAGCGGAGAAGAGGAAGCTCGAAGAACACACTACATCGGTAACTATAAGCAGATATGAAAAGTATGAATAGCAACTGGAAAGAACTGGAAAAGTTTGTCCAGGACAGAGTTGGATGAAGAATGCTGGTGGGCTATCTATGCTCCTTCACGAGTGGTGACGGGTATAAGTAAGTTTGATTTAAAAGCCTATTTCCAGGGATACTAGAAATGATGAATACTTCTATTCAGTGTTGGTAAACTGATGCTAAAAATAAAGTGAGTATCAAACCGAAAAACAAAACTCATTTACATTTGATTAGGTTTGCTCTGTTAATGACAATTAAAAGATAGAAAAATGAATTTTATACTCGTAAATTATTGATGATTAGTATTTGATTTCTATGGTGAACATTTCGAATGATAAGTCTTTGTTCGACTTATTTTCCTCTTCACAGTTATTTGAATTGTGAATACTGTTTATTTATTTGAACACAAAAATATTGGTACAAAGGGGGACCAAATGCATATCCTTCACACAAGTCACTTAATTTATGTGTGGGCTGTGATACTGCCCGGGTGCCCAGAACGAAGCAGGTGGTTTTCTTAAGGGACTACACCCTGAGCCTTTAACATGAAGGTCTGATTCACAAGGCGGTGGAGCAACGTCAGGATATGTGGTCCCATGATAGCCGGTAACAAATAATTGGTCCATACGCCATTTGTTTCATTAGGATCCTGGAGCCCATATGCACCATTGGTTTGGAATTAGGGTTTTCCAACTCTCCTTGGTGGATCCTCTATATCAACCAATACGGTTTAAACGCTGAACATTCGCTTTTCATCCTCTCAACTTCGCAAACACCATCAATACCTTGAGAATGCAGTGAATAGGGCTTCCCTGGCAGTGGCTATATACGCGTGGTCATGTGAGAGCATTAAGAGAGGGAGAGCTGACTCTCTCAACCGTCAGCCGTATCAGGGCATTTGGGAGCCGTTAAATGAGTACAATTCGACCGGTTGATTTTTACATTTCTTGATGATTTTATATCTTATACTATTTCAGTATTGTATTGATACGAAGCAAATTATTTCGATAATCGTCTGTCAGAATTTCAACGAGCAATTTGATGGAAATCGAGACCAAAGTAAATCGATGTTAAATATATATTCCTTAAAGAAACTCGTATCAGTGTGTAGAAGAAACGTTGGAATTACTTATATTTCAAACACTGTAATCAGTCAAGGGATAATTTATAGATTTCAGCTAGTGATTTCGTCTACTAATTTCTAATATCCTTTCACCATGTAAATTACTAACATTTTGTCTACTTTCTCAGTATTTATATAATGATAGCATCAATTAATTAATAAGACAGTATTTAATGAAAGTTATAGCAGTGCAATACGGAATCAATCACATCTTATCTAAATAGTATTCAGAACGTTTAACTTCTTTCAAAGTAACCTATTAAACAGTACATGTTTAATTGTTTATTATTGTTGTGGATTCACTATTTACTTTATCAGTTATCTCTTTACTGTGTTCTACTTTTGATTAGTTGTAACGTCACTAACTCCTTGTTTGTTTACAATTTGTGGTAACCTATGTAGTTAAATAATTCTTAAGAATTCTAAAAATCAAGTTATAAATAATAATTATATTTCACTTGGTATTGTTTGGCTTGTATCTTCCCATTGAGGTTTAAGACTGCAATTGATCAGTCTGCTATTGGCATATGTGCATACTGTGTGTATGCCTCAATATTGCCTTAATTCACAAGCTATTTTTTAAGCAATGATGGATAGTGGCTAGCAGTGGAATCCAGGACGCGCGTTTCGTCCTATTTTTATATTTGTACATAGTCTTAATGAATTTGACAAACTTTCCCGTTTGTATTTAACTGGATGAAAGATAATGGAAAATCAATCACCATTTTATGATTTATTTAAGTTATCACTTGAAAAACATTCAGAATTAACTATCAACCTATAACGTTTTTATTCTCTTTTTGTTCTGTTACAATCTGAAAACAGGCTAATAATGCTTATCTGTTGTTAGTGTTCAAAATAAAGTAAGATAGTTTATATTTATTCATCAAGCGAAGTCACTATATGTGAAAATTATATTTGAAATAATCTCAGCGATTGAAATTTAAATAACTCCAACGTTTCGTCCAGCTAACTTTCTTTGATGATTTCGATTATTACCTTGAAGAAGTCCAGACAATTTAGCTAGACGAAACGTTGGAATTATTTATTGAAATTTCAATCGCTGAGATTATTTCAAATATAATTTTCACATATAATGTTTGAATGACTGTTTATTCTCATACCAAAATTAGATCCAGATTACATTAAAATATACATGTACATAGTAAAGTCATTTATCCTATTACTAAACATTTTAATAAACAAATAACTAGACAAAAGAAAGTAATCACGATTAAAAAATATGATAGAGATTTTTGAAGAGGAATGACAAAGACCCATTTTTTTTAATTTTCTCTCTATAAAATTAAACTTTACTTGAATATTTCGATATTCTTCACATAAATCTATGAATAAATTCCAAAAGTTTTCCGTGAATTGACATTTAGAGTTTGTTCGATTACAAGAGTTTTGTAATTGTTTATGCTGATTTTCTAACCAGAATAACATCAGAACATTTAACCATGTTCGAGAGAATAAAATTTTCTGAATAGAAAAAAAGAACACCCCCAACAACAACAACAACAATAACAGAATGTTAACTCAGCAGGTTTTTTTCTAATTAAGAAAATTTTAATGAACAAAAAGTAAAACTTTTTCTTTCTTTCAGAAAACTGTAATCTCTATCAAATATTTCAGTAATTATGTACAAGTGTGTATATTAAAATTTTCCACATGTCAAACTCAGTGAAATTGACACATTGATCATATTTATAAAATATAATTCATTATGTAATTAACTTTCATCTCAGTTTGAATATTGAATGGTGTCATGTATGATTCATACGTTTAAGAACTTAAGCTTATAATGATTTTAGGTTTTAAGTGAAAACTTTCGGGATTTTTCATATTAGGATATATTAGCTGTCTATATGATGCTTAGACAAATTAAACGGTTATATGTTTATCTGCTAATGCAGTATGTCATATATATGTTATATATAATCAGTATATGGTTTTAGAGACTGTTGAATTACATTGAAGTTACAAACAGATCAAGGCTAGAGATTTATGGAAAATCTGGGAGCAGTAAGTGTGGGTTTAATCCTAGTATGAATCTCCATAGCCGTGAGCATCCACGAACTTGCAAGCGTGAATCAAACCTAGAGCTTAACCCCTAGCATAGGACACATTATCACAAACGCACTACCTGGGGACGTTCAAACTCAGAATATTTTCTTCTCGCAATGAGCACTTTTAGAGTCCAATAGTAAATAGTTTCATATTTAAAAAGTTATAGATATTGAACGACTATTATCATATCCCACTAGTGACGACTGTTTCACTCCCAACATGGTTAGATTCAAAAAGTCTGCGGCATAAGTGTACAATTATTATTTGTTTAATTCTAGGTATGGGAATAAAAATGTAATCAACTACAATATTTTTTGTTTTCCTTTATTTTAACAACAAAGTGAATGGAAATAATCCAAATGATTATTTAAAGAACATCGGGATCATCTGAAATACTGATTTTACTTTTTAGCTCTTACCGACGTTATGTTGTATCAAAAAAAAATTACATCGACTGCGGAACTACTGTGATTCGGGAAACTTTAAACAACTGTTTTGTTCCAACCACGAGTTTCTCAGAATCACTCACTATTAGCCCCATATGTGTTCGAACCAAAAATGCATAATCTAGTTTAGAAGCTTTTTGCAATGATCTTCCAAAGTCATAAGCATTTATTAACTGCAGTATATAAAAATGTTACTTGTAAGAACAAATAAAAATCAAGAGTTATCTCAAAGGGAAAATTGTAATACAAAAATATGATAACACGCTTAGTTTTATAATATGAGTCTCTTTGATAGTACTTAGGCTTATTCGCTTTTTCTCTGAAAATGAAGTTTCTAAAGATAGAGAGTTAGAACTTGGTTTATTAATAATTTCCCTGTAAACATAGTTATCACATTTCATTAATGTACAACATATTTCTAAAACTTTCGAATACCTGATCTTGTTTAGATAGGCCAGCAAAATGTGGAATTCCAGCAACCCAGTTTAAAAGTTTTTCAATCAGTGGATAAAATGCTTCTGAGAACATTTTCTGTACTATAGCTTGACTTCCAGGATATCTTGTAAGTGAAGTATTTGACTCAAATATATAATCAATGAATACATTAATTTGATTTGCAGAGTCTGATTTTAATTGAGACGAAATTTCATTTGAATATTGAAGCTGATCTTTTGTTTGAACATGAAACCATTTATTGAGATTATTCTTGGCACATATTGGAAAGGTACTATAGGAAGATTGAACATTATCTGATATGGTACCAGTACTAGCTAAATATAAACTTTTTTTAAGTGATTTATCAGTTGGGATTAAATTATTAAATTCATTACACTTAATTGAGGTTAATGATGATTGTAAACTGTAGGCTTTCATGTACTCTTCAAATTGCTGAATTGTTCTATTTAGACATAAGTCTCCCGTTTCTTTTTCATCTAAATATTCAAAAATAAATTGGGATATAAATAGAATTAGTTTTCATAAAGGATTCTATTATAACACTGATTTATGTATTAAAAATACAGTACTAACAATAAAACAGTAAATTTTTGATGCGAAAAACTTAAGAACCATGATTTACTATTAAGCATAAGGGTTGTTTATAATCAGATATGAATTTCAATAAAACCATGCACTGATCTAAGTTTGTATGTAGGAATATGTTGAATTTTATGACTTGGTAGTTTAGTTTGTAAGGGTACTACATTTAAACCAATGGATACTGAATCCAAGTTTTATTGCAATCATTTATACTGGAATGGAGTTATATATATCAGGCGAGCGCAAAAGTGAGTGAAAACAATGTGCTGAATTCTATTGCTAAACACCATGTACAAATTTAAAATACAATGTGTATAAACTATGCAGTAGTGCATTTTTATCTTTAATTGAAATCTCGTTTGAGAAAAGGAATTTGATCATTTCATGCTCTATAAACTGGTATTGATTGACAATATATACTACATACATACATCACTTTAAATCTGTTACAATAAATGTCTCAAAGAATGTTGCTCACCAATAATTATTGGGAATGTATCCATAAGATTTATTGGTAATGTTGGTAAGTATGGGACTTTTTTGAGAACTGACAACAGGTTTGGTTGGTATTTTACTGTAATTACTTGGTCGAATACCACACATCAAATTTAAATTTTCAAATTAACTAATGTTTTAGGAAAGTTTTGAAGATGAATTTATTTGGTAATTTTCTCATATACAGTTTCTATAAAATTCAGTAGAGTCATCAAATGTTCTCATTGATAGTAACGAAGACAAATATATGTTTACAATATTTTACGAAAGAATACTCTTAAGTGAGATTATTTTCATATTTGTGGAACAACCAATCAACAAGACATGAGGTCATAGATTGACTACAACTGACCTATGGAAAAGTGAATATGTAAAATATGTTAAAGAATTATCCGTGTAACATTTTACTATTAGGTAACTTCCCTTTGTTATTCTTCGTTGGGTTGCGAAAAGCATTTTGAAAAATAAGCTTTCAAAAGTTTCGAAGCCAAGAATACTATAATTTATCATTTGTAGTTGAAATAGCTTACATAGGATTCAGTGATAATAAAGCACGGTATGTTGTCTTGATATTGAAATAAGACCAGGAAATATTTTACTTATCTTTTTATACTATTTTTACCTAAGTATCTTCTAAATGTCTCGTTCTTCCAATGATGTACACGTAACATTTATTGCAGAATCGATCAATCTCTAAGCTATAAATCTATAAATTTGAGTTATAAAAACAAAACAATTTTATGTAGCAACATATTTACTTCAAACTGAAATTGAGTAACGTGAACCTAAGTATAATGTAGTGATTTAAAGCAGCCTTTTTTTAGAAACCTAAAAGAGACCTAAAACATAGTAACAGGAGAAACTAGAGATGATTTTTTGATTGTTTCAAAAGTCCAATAAAGAAACTTGCATTTCTGAATTAATCTAACTTACTAGTTAGCAGTTTAATTGCTTTGACCTCTACGATAACGTTTTGCTAACATGTGATGAATACTACCAACAAGATTGCTCGTAAGTAATGTGTGGTGAAAATTAACGTGTAAATTGTCGCAGATGACTGAAGGAGAGAAGATTTTCAGCAAGTCAAAAAGTACGGCTCGTGAAAAACATTAAAATGCCAGAAGTGATGGCTTAGGACTAACTATATTACAGAACAAATCGCGAGATGTAGATGGATGATTGAAGGCTTTTTGTACAAAATACACAAATATCGCCAAATGGCCTTACAGAGTGACCTTTCGGACAATATTTAAAAGATCGTTAATTGTGTAATTTACTAAATTATTTTGTGAAACTATAGAGTGAAAGTACTTTTTTTATATTTTTGAAATGAAAATCAATAAAGAAAATAATTATTACATTCTACGAGTAAATATTAAAACTTATCAACCTTATTCGTTGCTGTGAGTTAAATGACAGATCAAACCCCTCTAAATAACAATGGTCGGTACATAAACAAATGTCATCGATGTTATATTAATGAGAACTTACACTAATTATCAAAGTATTTTCTTCCTTAAATGATTATTTAAAACTTCAAATCTATCCCTAAATTTCATTAAATTTCTCTGTTTTATTCCAGTGTCATTGTGAGTCGTAAATAATTTATTGTAAACACTAAACTCTATGTTGAATGTAATAACATGTACTTGGTCAATGAATTACATCATTCGAAATTCTACAAACTACTCAACCTGATCAAAATCCAGAATTTTAGAATGCTTTTTTTTTGTAGATGATATTGTACCTATAAAAGACTTAAACTATACACTTTACAAAGTTATTAATTAGTCATTAGAAGCCATTTGCAAAGACCTACCTTTGTTCTGTTTATCTGATCCAGCTGAACCTTTGTTTATTGATTCTTGACAGACTATTGGACTAGTGTCATCTATGTTATTATTATTTAAGAGATGAGAAGAATTGTTTGTAGGTAAACAATAATTATTTGGAGTTGGCGTAGAAGTAAAGTTATTTGGGGGTAAATGGTTTGTAGATTTTGATCCTGAAATCTCGTCACTACCACAAATACAGTCACTTAAATAAGAATTATGAAGATTCTTCAAAATACTGTTAATGCTTAACCCAATATCTTTACTTTCCATGTGACTAGTGAGATTTTCTGAAGTTTGCTGACGTTTACTTTCTGGTAAGTTGTTTGTATATTCCAAATTCTTTCGTGCCACACCATCAGTTGTATCATTTCTGCTTGAACTTAGGATTTCTCCATTTGTAACTTCGAGGTTATTAGATAAATTGAAAATATTTAATAAATGTAAATAAAATTTTTGCATTTTTACATCTGAATAAGAAGACGATGAAGGTCTAGGGGTTCTATGGTCCAGGTTAACTGAGGTTGTGCTCGTTGGCTTTGATGTTGGTAAATTAATTGTTTGAAACTGGTTCATATAAAATGGATGATAATTAGTCGTATCGTGTATTACAGAAGCAGATGGGATGAAGCAAAAGTTGTTTGAGTTTTCAGTGGTGGATGAAATTGTATTTGGTTGAGCATTAGTAAAGCATAAAGGTAAATTGTTTCCCATTAGATAATGGTGGAGTTTAGTTGTGTCAACAAATTTCGGTTCATTGAAAGCTCCTATCTTATTAGTGAACTTTCTATTTGATAACCTTCTGTGGTGTAATGAGTTTGAACGTTTTAACATATGACTGTGTTGCCTTAAACGGTGTTTTTGAATCCACTCTGATTCGTTTGCAAAAATGTTTTCAAAAGTGTTAACACCTTCCGATAGGTTGTTTTCATTGAGTAGTGTATAGTCAGAAGCACTATGGTTTGAACTATCTTTAGGTACGCTAACTGATTCTCCAAACGACTTATCGTTCGTCAGTTCGCTATTAGCAGATTCTGAAATAAATGATTTGTCATTTGGCGAATGCGATATCTCTAGTGCTTGACGCTTAGGTGATGTTGAATTACCTTGAGCGGTAAAGTGTGAACTCTTCCTTGGTTGGCGTTCATTCTGAACGGCTGAAATAATAAAAAATTCGTTAACTATTTATTGAAGATTTATTTGCAATATGAATTTACTGATATAGTTGGCTATCGATTCAAAGAAACTAATTTTTTATTTTGTGCATTAGATCAAAGTTTTTGATCTCGTTTTTTATGAACTGAGTTTTCAAGTGTCAATTATTACTTTTTAGTTACAAACAATGTCACGTTTCATCTTGAAGACAAATAAATCTGTCCATGTATTATTCATCATTAAAGAGATAAAAATTGTTGAGGATTCTCTACATCAATATCGTCTCACTGTCCATTGGAGTTAAATTTTCATATTGCTTGAAGAATGTTGTTTTCTGTGACATTTTACACAACAGCATTAAATTATCTACATAGTACAAAATAACTTAATGATGAAAATAGTATGAGGACGTAACCGATGTTCCTATTTAATAGACTAGTTGATCAGATCATTGTTCTGATGTCACAGATCATTATTTTACTTATATTGGAGGTCTAAACAATCTTTACAATATGATTTTGAGATGGTGGAGAAGATTTGTAGCTCAGGTGGATGATTTTGATGGAGTTTTGTTCTCTGAGCTCAGAGAACAAAACTCCATCAAAATCTTTACAATATCCATAATAATAATCCTTGAAACAACAACAAATGTGTTTTAGTGGTACATTAATTTTACTGAACTCCTTTTGCTTTTTGATCTAAAGTGGTAACAGTCAAGGTATAACAAGCCTTCCGCGACTTTTTATTTGTATGACCTATTTTGCCAGGCCGCATAAGATAGGTCAAGTAAAGCTAATGATATTCTTTTATCTACTTACTAAAATTTAGATATTTGATGCATTATGATTACTAATTTGACAGTTTGATTAAACGTCTGAATCCTATCTATTCTGTCACTGATCGTATACACGGATAATCAGTAACTTTACTCAAATATCGATTAGCACCCCTAAAAACATTTTTATATGTAAATTTTCCTCCTTTTTACTCACTTACTCCCAAATGTGCTTGCTCATTGAATGCCCGTGAATTAAACAAATTATTAACAAAATACACTTTCTTAGTACAACTGGTTTCTGGTTTCTGAATATTCTTAAGTGAATTCATAGCGATACTAAGAGAATCAGCTTGCTAAGAAATACACAGTTAATAAGTCATTACATTCTAGAGTTAAAAATTGAGGAAACAACCTTTAAAGAGGTTTCAAAAGTATGAATTAGTTTAGTAGAATAATAATATGTCAAATTTTCATTCATGTAATGGTCATTAATAAATCAAACTGCGATATTTTTACTTGTTGGAAATAGTTGGGAACTTAGTTTTTTTAAGTTCGAACTCCTTTTGCCGATCATGACGGTAATAATCAGCTCAGCTTATGAAAACCTTGTATAATGATTGATGTTTATCAACCGAATATTTTATCTTGACTAGTTGAAAGTTTAAATTAATCGTTGATACATACCATTTATTGAATGAGATTTACCAAATATCAGGGAATACTCATTATCCTACGACCCACTTATGCGACATATATATTAATGAATTCAAAAATATACTCCCACTCTTCGTTCCTCTATCATCTTACAGTTACTATAAGTTATTTATATGTTTTCAACTCAGCCTCATTGTGTAACTATGATCAGCAGTATAGTAGCAAACTACACCGAATTTGTTCCCAAAGTTGATATAACACACTAGTTCAGGTAATAACTTATTAATCCACACAGTCAATATATACCATAAAATATAGTGATTTTAAATTTCCTTTTCAATAATAGTTCTGTTTATTCTGAACAGAGATTTGGAATGCTGATGTTGTATTATAACTATGGCAAAATCGAAAGTGTCAATGATTTACAACAAATGATTTTCGGAATCGTTTAATATTCTTGTGTAACCATAGGTTCATTTTTTGTAATATAGTATTATCATATGACAGGTAAACTAAAAATCAACCCAATGTTAATGCTCATTGTAAAATTAATTTTAACCAATAAATTTTTCAACTATTGTAGTTCAAACTTATATTCATTAATTCATTCACTTACCATCTTTATTCATACCCATACGAATACATTTTTTCATTCTACATGCTTGACACTGGTTTCTGTGAGCTTTGTCAATAATACATAAACCATTACCAGCTTGACATCTATAGGAAAAACGATGAATAGAAAATAATTCATGTATGTCAAAGTGATATCGATTTATCTTGTTGTTAATAGTTAATAATGAAAATAGTCATTAGGTTGATTGGCACAAAATGAATTCATTATTAATCTATATCTTCAAGAAATGTTTTAAAAAAACTTTACGAATTTAGTAGGTTATGAGCATCTAAGATATAGTAGATTGGCTGGGTATTATAAAGTGAGTTCTTCAACTATTATAGAATTATCAGTATGGGGATTTGTGGAGATTGTGCTGATTTCACAACTGAATTCACGAATCAATCTAAGATAGATCAAAATTGAAAACCTGGAAGCACCGGTCAACCGTGTCGTACTAGTATGGGATCCCTCAACAGTGTGATCCACGATCCCTAACACGAGACTCGGACTCAGAACCTGTCTCTACCTGACACGGATTGGACTCCATTGGTCACGGATTCTCACTAGAACTCCAGAAAACACATATTGACACCGTTGGATGCCGGCTCACTGGTCTAGAGATTAAGCAATCGTGCGTGAGATTGAGAGCCCTGAGTTCGAGTCTCACGTGAGGGATCCTGGGTGTGCACTGCTGATGAGTTCCATGCTAGTGCGAAACAGTTATTTAGTGCTTTCAGGCTTTTAATGGTGGTCTATCTTAAATCAACTCGTGAATTCAATTGTGAAAATATTATAGAACTAATAATAATGATTAGCGTATAGACCCTGTATAAATTGACTGAATGGTACCTTATTAGTTAAAGAGATCATGAGAATGAGTGTTATAAATGAAATTTCATGGACATGGTTTATGGAAATTTAGCTGAAAAAGACAAACATAAAACTGATTTATTTGAAAATTTCCTTACCTGTATATAAGTTTTCGCCTGACAGATCGTTTAAAAAAACCACTACAACCATTACACGCTAAAATACCATAATGTTTTCCACTGCTGATGTCACCACAAACAATACAATACAATCCATTATGACTGACACGTTTAATATCACGAAATTTTGATGTTAATTCATTTATTCCATCAGTTAAAACTTGTTCTGAAGTTGAGTCAGGTTTGGGTAATTTATATGCATCTATACGGTCATATATGCTTTGTTCAGTTAAATTCAGATGTTGGACTGCAAGATCTGCTTGTGTTGATTGTTTGTTAATCATTGTCGGATCAAATGTTCTATTAGAAAATGGTTGAAAACCATCATTTGAAAACGTAATACCATAGTTATCACTTTTTGTTACTCTTTTACCATTTTTAGAATCTAAATGCCAATTAAAATTTGTCATTTCTTCTGTGAAATGATTAACATGTGGACTAGTATTTGACCATATGACTGAATTTATTGAAGGCGGCATCGACAGTTGACTATTTTTCATTAAATGAGATAACCATAGAGTGGAATTGGAAAGTAATGATGAAAAATTATAGATGTCATTTATTCCTGTAGTTGACTGAACTGAAGGTGGAGCAGTAAATTGATTTATTGGTAGTAAAGGTATATCTGATTTATCTTTAAGAGATGAAACTATTGAATGAATACTGTTTTCTGTAGATTGTGCAGATATATTGTTATTAATTTGTGAATTTTCTGTTTTGTTACATAATGGTTGACTACGTTGTATTTCATCGTGATATGAACGCTGCATGTTCATATTATTTGGTTCACTAAATGATGATATATCAATTAATTCATTATTGTGATTGTATTCTTCATACTTTGTTGAAGTACACTTTTCACGTAGACTGAACAGGTCAGTGTCTTCGATTGGATAGTTTTTATTATGTTGTAAAGAGTCTGCTAAAATCAAAATAGTATTTCATGAAAATTAAAGTTTAATTTATTCGTCAGTAGTCAATACGATTTTAACTTATTCGTAGATTAGCACAAAATCGTCTAGTAATATCAGTATAAACTTAAAATTAAAATGAAAGCAAATAAGGTTTCCGAAATTGCTAAATATGTTATCGTTACAACCCAGAACTCGTCAATGCTTTCAGTCAGTTAGCTTTGGGGCGAAATCGTAAAGACATGTATTATTAAATAAGACGGAACGCGCATCCTGGACCTCACTTCTAGCCACAATTCGTTTCTGCTTACAATTACCTGTGACTTGGTAGCAATACCGAGGCGATCCGCACAGGATCTACATATATCTAAAAGGACTAGCCAATTTCAGTCTTAAAAATCAATGGAATGATTCAGACAACTATTACATATAAATTAAAATTTACACCATTGCACAAGCTAGTGGCTATCTGTACTCAGCAGCTAAGTAGATAACAAGTTGGCATTCAAAGCAAACGGTACTGGGTTTGAGTCCTAGGGTGAATATCAACTATGGAATACGGAAACATCTAGCAGATGAGCCCAACATAGGATGAAACACACGAGCTGGATTCCACTGTTAGCCACCATCCCTCTCTCTTCAGAAATACTCTTAGATTTCTCTACTTATAAAGCCTATTTTGTCCAATTTTTAGTAATACATCGTTTTTACAAATCCTTTGAGTAGATAGTAACTATTCGTTTTTAAAAACAAACGGAAAATTGAAGTTTGGAAATCAGAATTCTACTTAATAGTTTGCCGGTCAAATCGTGTATATTGATTTCTAGACAATTACTTTCATGAAATAACACTCATATACTATGAACTAACCTAGTGGGTTAATCACTTAGCAAATGTCCCTTAATAAACACATGTGGTACATTTATTATGAAATAGCAAGACTATTCGTCCTGAATATTTTTCAACAAAAGAAATACAAGTTTTGTGTATTTTGTTTATTTTGAGTCTAAATAACGTTCAATACACCTGGTACGAAGACCTCAAGTTGTTTAGCTTATTTATAAATGTTAGTTTCTCCTCTGTATAACCTTGAATACATTTTTCCTAGGTCTTATTTCTCATGACTGTTGCTGTCACATTTTTAGTTTACATTTTTTCGTATGTCCCAAAGTCATGTTTGTTGTCATGCATACAATGTCATTCCATTCAATGTTAAGTTTTTTCCTGTACTTCTATCGTCTTCTAGGATTCCATTGTTTGGAAATGACTATTGTTGTTTTATGTATATCATTGACCGTACTATCGTGTTCAAAATACATTTTGTTCGTATTAGAATAGTTTTAGTCATTTTTACTTAGCAATCGCCTTGAGCCGAATAAAACTTGGCAAATTACAACAATACCCTATTTTAAATTGCTACTTATCAGAAATATTAAACTACATTACGACAATGTTACCAAGACCTACAATACACGGAAACCTAATAATTTAGGCAGATGGATGAAATCCCTGTGTAAACTTAAGTCAGTATTGACCAAATACAATTGTGTCAGTAATGTGTATAACCGCACATACATCAAGATGCTTTAATTTATAATTAAACATTATTTTAGCGCTTTATTACTTAGCCAATACCTTGTCCTTTAGAATAAGATTACTTTGTCTGTCTAGTAAACACGTGAACTATTCCACTAAAGGTGATAAGTATGAACATAACACGATTAGCAGATCATTACAATAGAAATATTCCGTCCTTGACTGTATATATTCGATTTATTCAACCGTAATTATCCAAAGCTCTGTATTTATCGGAAAAGCTGGCTTAACTCAGAGTGACTGCATAGCTTGAAAGCTATGAAAAAATTATGAACAGCTATTTATTCAGTGGCTCAGATAGAGAAATATGTGATGAACAATGATTTCTAGTTGAATTCCTTTTATATCATGCTATACCACTTAAGATTCATTTTATAAGCATCTCTTAGAAACAAAATTTCATCACAAATAATAACTATTGAAGCTTTACTCTAACTTTTGCCTCAGATGTACAAAACTAGTATACTAAATAATAGTTTCTTGGGATTTCTTAAATAACCATATGAATGATATTTTACCTATTAAATTCCTATTATTGACGAAAGATAATATTATCGGTCATATATGTGTTCTGAGTTTCTTAAGCAGTTACACAAAGGTTAGGTGTACTTGCCAGTTTCGACCGTGTGGATATGTGTGTTAACACTGCATGATTTATCCTAAAGTTTCCCGAACATAATATTTATATATATTTTTCCTGTGAATTTACTTACATAGATCCAGAATAGTGTGAAAAGCTCGTTCAAACAAAAAATATTATTTAGGCAAACTAATATAGTTGTCATAGGATATAATTTCAACAAGCCTTAAGAAAAGGTGAATTTCATTTTTATAGGTTAAAAATAAAAATCACTTTTTTCAACTGCTCTAGGCTGATCATCTTTTTTTTGGGCGAATATAAACCAGGGAGATCATCTGACCCAATGGTAACAGATGCCAACTCATTAATACGTACATGTAAACTGGATCTACACCAGGAACGAGTAGATAATTTGAGTAAAAAAAAGCTAATCTTTTTGAAAAATATACTTAAACATTCATCATACAAAAGTTAATATTTCCTATTTTTTTGAAAACCATATTCAGTGTTCCAGAACTGTTGCCAAAAAATAACTAACAGACAAACTATTTTGATCACATTGCCGTATATTTATGCATTGATATAGTGTTGACATGATGCACTTATGTAGGAGACACTCATAAAGCTGTACTAATCCAGAGACTTTATATAATCACTTTTACCGTTTTTTCAATTCAATTCAGAAAAGGTTAATTTATAAGTGCTGGTGCTTCTGTCTCATAGCAAATAAAAACTAAGAATAAAATGGTTTAATATGTCAAGATCCATATCAGTTTAACACATGACTGGAACTCTAATATGACTAGCCGGAAATAACTAGAAAGTTTGTGAACCATTTCAATCTTAAGTTTCAAATACAGTAACGGATGCTCTACACAAATAAGATTTATGTTTGAAGACTGAAGGTTTGATTCCATCATTTCGTAATGATATTAAAAATGTGTAGGTTGTAAACTTGTGAAGGCTTTTCATTGGTAGTTTACCAATAATAATAAAACTAATAAAGTAGTTACTTTTTGACGCAAGCACTAAATGTTATACTACAGTTCTAATTGTAGTAAAAATAAGTCAAGAACAGCAACTAATAAAATACGGCAGTAATATACAAGTGAAGCATATGTTTTCAAGATAAGTTTTAGTGATTTCAAACAACAATAGTTGGAATTAGGACTTTTATTGTTAGCTTATTACAAACATCATATTAAAATTCTTTCATCCTAAATCTAGGCGTTTGGCATTGGTAATGAAAAAACAATAATAACCAGTTAGTTTGTTCGTTTTGAAATATCAAAATAATATTTCAGTAGATTTATAGAAATTGTTCATTAGATGAATAAATTTTGTAATAAGCTGAAAGTAAAGACATAAACCGTTGTATTCCACTCAAGAATTGTAAACAATAATGACTCAACTATTCATCTTCTTTTAGTTTTTTAGAACTCTCCAGATAAATCCATTTCATAATAAACTCACCTCTTTATTATCAAATAATTATCTTTCATACTGTACAGTTAAACTGTAAACAGTTCCAACATGATATCAAATATAACTTTATACACAGTTTACATTATTCATTAAATTCATCGTCTCGTTCATATAATAAATAAGATTAAATACTTTAAATAAATATAATTAAGATTATCTTAAAATATTCCATAAAATACTTATGATAATCGTTTCTAACATAGATATGTCATAATAATCATTCAATATTGGATGACTGGTTTTCGATGGAATTACCGGTTATTGTTTATAATTTTACTTAATACATTTTGATACTTGAATAATTTCAATAGTTGGGATCATGAGTCGATTGAAGCTAGACCGCCATGAAAAACATGGAAGCACTGGCTGGCCGTTTCGCCCTATTATGGAACTCCTCAGCAGTGCACGTACACGATCTCGCCCCCCGCCGCGAGATTCGAACCTAGGACCTATCAGTCTCGCGCACCAGCGCTTAACCATTAGACCACTGAGCCGGCCGGTATCCAACGGTGTTAATGTCTAACTCCAACCAATCCACGAAATTGCGCCACTTAAATAATTGTAAAGATAAAATTTGTTCTTATTATGAATGATCTACACATAGAATAGAATTTGTTTAAATTAATCCATGAAATAAACACTGAAGTATATCATTATTAGTGTTGATGTTCATTTCTTAGTTATTACATAATTATCTGCATTTACATTTATTTATTACTGTTTATCTTACCTTCATTTAGTTTTATTTTTACATTTGAAAATATGAAATAAGTTTCATTCACTCATAATTGATTTAGTAGACCATGAATAATCAAAACTAACTTAATGACATAGAAACTAACCAATCAGCAGGGGATTGAAGTATATATTTAGAGTGTGATATATAATAAATAGAATGTGATTAATTGTATAGATTTCATTCGAAATTCATTGAATCATAAATATTGGTTTTCAACACTATATTCGTTATTAGTAATTATGAATTTAATGAAGCCTTAAAAATGTGTTTAATAATCTCAACTAAACTAATTTCTTATAGGATTATTATTACTATTATTATGCTTAAACGACTATTTCTGTAAAATGATTCTATACAAAAGAAGATGAATCAAATAAATGGAAAAAGTATTATATTTATTGGTTTGAATGAAATTTTTAACAAACATAATCCTTTGACAAATTTGATGAATGTATATTTATTTTATTTTATCTTTAACTATTTATTATGCTTTCAAAATTTTTAATACGCTTAATTATTATGGTATGTGTGCTACTGATATAAGTAGTAGGTATCATCAATAGAAAGTGAAATGTCTGAAGGAAGAAAGTTAAGAAGATGAAAGGAAAGAGAATGAGAACAGTGAATGATTTGTGTGGAAATGAATGAACAACAAAGTCTGAGATGATTGACTGATATGTTGTGAATGAAGTATTTACTGTAATGTTCTCAGATTTTACTAACATGTTCTGTAATTTTGTATTCAAATACATTTGATTGTTCAAACTTATGTTCTCATTCACTAAACTATCCCTTTTAAGCTAAATATATGCACAGAATCATCTGATTTCGCTGTCATTGTGTGTAGTCATCTATTTTTTAAGTGAAAAAATGTCTGTCATGTAAACGGTAAATGAATTAGGCTTAGTGAATAATGATATAACTCTAGGTTTATTCATCCAAATGGAATAAAAACAATTATGAGGAGTACAGATTAATTTTATTTAAATGAAATTCCTTAAGAAAACTTGCCAACTTCAAGATGATCTAATCTTTTTCAAAAACTGATAGGGCCAACTTACAAATATATTATTTTCTTATCATATCTGATTGAGGTACATGTTAATAGAAAAGAAATATTACCACTAATTGGTACAAACATAGAGTTACCGCCATCATTCAATTCCGTATATTACAAGTTAATTAAAATTATTGACAATAAAATTGAAAGGTACTTTTAAGGCTTCACAGACTAGAATAAAACAACTTTCAGTATTCACTAGTTTGCAGTGGCGTTTTGCTGAAAATTATTTTTAAAGTATACAGAATAGTCACCAAACGACTTAAATAAATAATTAAAACATATCTAGCTTCAAAATATGTCATATATATAAGTTTTGTTTCGGTATGTTTTGACATGGTTTACATTCTTCGATATATTTGTGTATTAAGATTTTCAATGGACTAAACTAATGAATGTTTTTGTTTATGTTTCTTCAGTATAAACTAATCAAAATGGGTTCAATATTTTACTGCCACTAATGCACTGTCGTTTCTATACTACTCAATTGTATCAGAATTGAAGTAATAGTGTACTTTTGATTATCTATAAATGATAATTTATTATCTAATAAGTTACACCTGAGTACTTAGGCTTATATAATGAGAATGAGGTTTAAATAATCGATTCCAAGAAAAAACAGCTTTCATGCTTCTTGGTGAAAAAAAATCTGGCAAACGTCATCGTGTACTCAAGCGTTGAGACGTAAATAAGGAAAGAAATCAGTTTCCGATAGAAATTATTTGAAATTTTTTTGAATTGGTAGGCCACAATAAAAATAACGGCCATTTTACCTCTTCACAATATATTTCATAGTTAAACCCTTTGGTCAATAGATAATATCAGTTTTGTTTAAATGTACATCAGCCCATCCAATATTACAATATGTCGTAGAGGTTTCTAACAAAAATTTACTTGGTGTATAGTTCCCAAATGGTAATGGTTTTGATTGTTTATCAATAGTTTACTTCAGATAAGTAAAAGTCTTTATATATTTGTATTCTGAACCGTATTCATCTTTCATAAATTTGAAAAATGAACGTAAACTGGCATTCATTCAAAGGTAGCTTCCTGTTACACTAAATATATAAGTTAACAAAACATTTGATTAATATTTGGTTATTGAGTGATTAGCTATTACAATATCTTGATTTCATTTCATCCAAAGGTTATGGCTTGGAAATTAATGGGTATATAGGTAATAATAATGTAATACAATAATCAATATAAAATTGGTTATTCACAATTTTAACTGTTTTTCAGTCTAGTTCATTTTTTTAGATTTAGTTACTGCAACTGATCTTACTAAAGTTAATGTTTGGTAGCGAGATAATATTATATGTTGCGTGATATCGTTCATCATCAAAAAGGTACAAGTAGTTATAAACAGTTGTCTATGCAAAATACTTAATATCCGTTGGCCAGATACCATCAGAAACAGCTTACTGTGGGAGAGAACAAACTAGCTTACAGCTGAAGAGGAAATTAGGAAAAGACGTTGGAAAAGGATAGAACATACATGACGCAAATCACCAAACTGTATTTCTAGGCAAGCGCTAACTTGGAATCCTAAAGGGAAACGGAAAAGAGGATGGTCAGAGCACACACTGTATCGGGAATTGTAAGTAGACATGAAAAGGATGAATAACAACTGGAAAAGATTGTTCAGGATAGGATTGGATGGAGGATCTTGATGGGCTGCAGATGCTTCTCTGCGAGAGGTAACAGGTATAAGTAAGTAAGTAAGTCGTGGTATCGTAAAATAAATATCTTATCAGAACTTTATTCAATGAACATTATTTGTATCACTGAATATTGACAAATATCAACTGAATCAATAATTTAATCATATTTATCAATTCCTAGTGCAGTTAGGCACAAATATGAATGATTTTACAGTGTTAAAAATTTTAAAGTAAATTCGAATTTTTAATTGAGTGTATTAAGTCATTAACATCACTTAGTCCTATTTGGGACTATCAGGACTATCAGGACTCAGTAGCTAAGTGGATAACGCGATGGCGTTTGAAAAGGACGGTACTGAGTTCGAGTCCCAGGGTGAACATCAACTCTGAGACGCAGGTACATCCAGTTGACGCATCCCAAACAGGACGAAACACGCGTCCTGGATTCCACTGCTAGCCACTATCCATCTTTGCTTATTATGCTTGCAAATTAAGGCAATATCGAGACATACGCACAGTATGCACATATGCCAATAGCAGACTGATCGATTTCAGTCCTAAAGCATCAATGGGAAAATTCAAGTAAAACAATATCAAGTGAATCAATAATAATATTGTTTTGTAAATATAATATGTAATCGGAGGGTGTTATCAAGGTAATTATGATAAACGAATTAGGAATGATGTATGTAAAGATTAAGATAGAGGTGATCAGAAAAAAGTGGGGTTAAAAGGTTTACAATATTCAGTTTAGGTATCCGGTGATCCAGTCGTGGGCCAGGGTAAATATAGAGGCTGGATATACCTTTTTTCGATACAAAAGTTTGGTGCTCTGGATTTGATCCAGATGGCTTCAGCTATGTAGAGCAACACTATCAAATGCATGAATACATGCCTTATTTTTAGCCTTTGTAAAATATTATAATTATGGACTTATCACAGTAGAGCCTGATGATGAAGTTTTTGAAAACCATTGTTCGCTCAAATGTTCTTCATTCAAGTAGTAATATTTAAAACAATTAGTCCCTTTTTTAAATTTCGATAATGATATTAGAAGACGAAGATTATCAGAACTATGTGATATATTAGCGCAATACATTTCGAACAATCTGATCACACATATACTTGTTAAAAGCATTTATATCTAAGAATAAAAGGCCAACTAGACTGGATACGGGGTAAGAGGAGATAAGGATAATGATAAGTGTAATAATAATAATGTGAACACAATTCGTAACCTAATCACTTTGGATAATAAGTCAATATTACCAGGGTAGGTTTAAGGTAAGAACATTTAAGTTTATATAACGGTCATTAAATTAGATTATTATTTTACAACAACAACAAAACAAACAAACATTTAAATTGAAATAAATGTAATTTATATTGAATTTATGATGTTTTATTAATTAGAACAGTGTAGAAATCAATATCTGTTTCTAAGCCAATTTTCCATTTTGATGTTATATCCAAAACAAAACTTTATAGATACAATATAAATCTATAAATAACTTTTCATAATTACATATCTATATCATTTAATACTCTGCAAACAATATGGATAGATTAAAATAATGAAATTATGTAACAGTTTATTACATAATAATTACTCACTTGATGTATTACCAGTTTCATTACAATTTATGTCCATAATATTAACAATTCAGATAAAATAATGTATGATATATCTTTTGATTATCATGTAAATTATGCAAAGAAATATATAATTCAAATTGTTTATTAAATAGACCATAATGTGTTAGTTTATTAAATTAGAAAAAAGGGGATATTTTCAGACCAACTTGTATCTTTAATACTTATTTTATGAACCTTTAAAATCCATGAGGATAGGGAGAATAAATGAAAAATGCCTATCGTAAAAAGTGGAATAATATTTTAGATAGACAATCGTTGTTTTACTTTATGTGTACATACTTGATTTCTTTTTCTTTTTCTAAACTCAAAAAGGGGAGTCTACATAGACGACACTAACCATATTCTCTATTATTCAGCCCTTGTGGAGGTGGAGAAAACAAATTTTCTTTTTTTTAATCGAAAGAGATCAAAATACAAAAATCGGAGCAATCAGCATTATTATTGTTATACAATCTGCCCCAAAAAATTGTTATGTCTATCTATCATAGTATAAGATATTTTGCTATTTGCTCTATCAAGCGCGTACTCAAAATTTACCCAAACACACAATATTCATGCTTTATACATCCTAAACAATATAACTTATAGTATCATTTAATTGTGCAACAATAAATATGATATATGAAATATTTCTACTCACTTATATTAAAATGATGAAAATAAGGAAATCAAAATAGGAGAGAGAAAATGTCAACTTCAATTTCATTGGTTCATAAGGTTTGAGTGAGTCTATTTCTTTTTCTTTCTTTTATTATTATTATTTCTTTTTTTAAACAACAACATTCCTATAGTTTTAAAAAGGGATAGAGAAATTGGTTTATTTTCAGTATTTTTATTCTCAATCTAATTTTCTAGGAAAACTGTCTATACTACAAATAATAATAAGAAGAATAAGAATAAAAATAATCATAATTCGCAAGCATGGTATAAACGAATCAGTTCTGTTGAGAAAAGAAACTCTTTTTTTTTCTTTCAGTCTACTAAAACATACTCATCAATGAATTTTTAGACTTCAGTATTATCATAAATTAATTAAATTGAGAATAGAAGTGTCTGAGAATACGTTTTTTTTTCTAACTACTTCAATAAAATTAAATATCTAAATATATTTTGTTCTTGGTTGTTGTTGTTGTTGCTGAGTTAGTTCAATCTAAGAAAATTACTTACCAACGGATTAAATTGAATTATTTACAATCATCCAGTAAAATAGAATAAAAAGCAATCACAATATTTTTAAAACGAAAAAAAAAACATACAAACAAACAGAATTTCTAATTTTAAAGTTAATATTCTTTTATAGTGCTAGGGTTGAAGCTATCATGAGTTCACTTAATCTGCGAACAAGAAACAAGACTCGGTGACCAAAGACCAGTAAGCTAGCTAGTTGATGCGTCCCAAGTCCGCTAACTAGAGAGAGAATTCCAAGCTTGGAATGGGGAAGTATATTCTGCAAATAGCCAGAAACGAACGATAACAACAGACACAATCTTAAACGTATATATACAGTACAAAACCGTCCGTGGGGAGAGTTACCAAATAACATACTAAAAGATGCAACGAACCAATAGCACTTAAGATATTTCCTAGTGGAAAATACGATATGAAGGTGACAAGAGCGCCTTTGGCGCGAAAACAAAGGAATTAAAATTTTTTAAAATAGGTCCTTTCCCAAGTGAGTTCTGGGGGTCTAACGTCCCTAGCATATAGACTTTTATAAAGAAATGATTTTATAAAGTTTTCATTATTTACTGTGAATTATGTTAATTTAAATAATGTTTCAATATTTAATCCAAAAATAAATGGTTATCGTTGCATTGAACTGTAAAATTTGAAAAGAAGAAGTACATTCATCTTCAAATGACTTCCATGTTGTTCTTCTTTTTGATAAATGAAACAACATGAAATATAATACTCTTATACAATAAGATTACTTTACAATACAAAATATCTCCTTATGGAATAATGATAAATTGTCGATATACTAAATCATTGATAAAGCAAAATAATTAATAGTGAATGTTTTAAAACCATTAGAAATTCTAAAATTTTGAATCTCAATTGGCTTAATATACATCAAAGCTTATATGGAAATTAACCAATTTAGTGATTCGACTGTACTAAGTGTTACAAATCTCAGTGGATTTTTAAATATCAATAGCCAGTTTAAAATATTGTATACGCTCAACAAAATGTATAATCATTTCGAAATGTAATATTACAGTAGATAACGAAAATATTGTGGTGTGTGCTTTTGAGGTCTATTGATATAAGTAGTGAGTATCATCAATAGAAAGTGAAATATCTGAAGGAAGAAAGTTAAGAAGATCGAAGAAAAGAGAATGAGAACAGTGAATGATTGGTGTGGAAATGAATGAACAACAAAGTCTGAGATGATTGACTGATATTTTGCAAATGAAGTATTTATTGTATGGTTCTGAGATTTTACTAATATGTTTTGTAATTTTGTATTCAAATACATTCGATTGTTCCTACTTGTGTTTTTGTTTACTATAGTATCACAAACAGAGAGAAATGTCATGTAGTGCATCGTTGAGCATTCTCTTATCTAAGGTGACAAGAGTTTTAGCTAAACCTGTCAATGTCCTATGCATAATGACTAAACCTATGTATTCGGGATTTGTATTCCATCTGGATCTGCCTAATTAACACGATTTAAACACTCAACAGAGGTGCTATTTTTAAAATTCATAATAATAGAGAATACGGTAGCATTTAAACTTGTGATTATAGCCAGCAATATCCAAATCATAATTTTGTTAATTATTGTTTTATCAATTTATGTTTGAAACTTTGTATCCTAAATAATTTGACTAGATCTGCAGAACATTTGTTGGATTAAAAATGAAAGCTAATTTATTTAGAGAAAGATCTAAGTAAAGTCTTTAATTATTGGACAAAGTGAACAGTTTTTTGTCTGGTACACTATCACATTATTGAAAAAAATAACATTGATATACATGTATATGTAGGCATATATTCTTAAAATAACTACGGAATTCATACCAACTTACAGCCACGATTACACTGATAAAAAAAAGAATGGTAACATGTAAAACAAGAAACTTAATGATACATTATTTCAAAAGAAATAATTCAGATCGTTCTGCCTGAACATTTATCCCGGTTTTGAATTAATACATTTTCAACAGGAAGACTCGTAAGTCATATTTAAGAATAAATAATGTAGCAGAGATTAATTTCAGTGTCGTTACGGAATAATTATAATCATTTACAACTAATGAGAAAAGAAAGAAAATAGCGGTTAAAGAATAGCAACAAAAATGACTTTTATAGGCTTGTTGTCATGGACGTGTTTGATGTTTCTTTGTGACTTACTTTTATGGACAGATTTTATTCAAACTAATCAGTAGTCATATATATATATATATATATATATATATATATATATATATATAAACAGAGATGGATGACCGTTTCATCTCAGTGTGAGGTTCCTCAACAGTATTTTCAGGTTTCCCATGGTGTTCTAGCTTCAATGAACTCATAAACCCAACCATAAAATTACTATAGCATCCTGGAAAACCCCTTTTCTGATAGTAATCATGATATGCTCACTAGTGACTGGCTTCAAGAGGCATTTCCTGGAGTTCTAGTGAGAAGCTGTGATCAGTGGAGTTCAACCGGGTCTGTTGTGAGATATCAGCTCACTGAAGACATTAATGTACGGTGGCGCAATTTCGTAGATTAGTTGAAGTTAGACATTAACACCGTTGGATGCCGACCGACTCAGTGGTCTAATGATTAAGCACTGGTGCACGAGACTGATAATTCCTAGGTTCGAATCTCGTGGCGGAAGGAGGTGGGATCGTGTATGTGCACTGCTGAGGAGTCCCACGATGGAGCGAAACAACTGTCCAGTGCTTTCACATTTTTCATGGTTGTCTAGCTTCAAATGACTCATGATTTCAACTATTGAAATTATGATAAATCATTTATCATTCGGAAAATATTGAATTATTTCAAATTATAATTTCATTATCATTTACTTTCGTTTAAGAAAAAAAGAATAAAACTATCCAATTCCTTAGTTCCCTTTTCTATAATCTTCATGTTTACCTATTTCATATAAAGTAACAAAATTGAAATGATTTAATTGTACAATTAATTTATTGTTATCTTGTTTGTTTGTTTGTTCTCTTTTAGTTAACCAAATTGGTTTTCTATTGATCATTTCAATTTGTCATTTATATTTATTAGAAAGTATTTGATTATTTTATATTAATTTAATTATATTATACAGTTTCTCTTTTTTTTTTCTAAGGAATTTCGAATGTAGCAATGAAATATAATAAAGTTAATTTTATTAATGATTTGTGTATTATAGTTATTTGATCATTTTAATTTTTGTTACTGTCTTTTTTAGAAAGATAAAAGTACCTAATCGCCAAATGAATTGTTACATTCTATTGTTGTTGTTGTTTAATCTAACCATATGACTTTGAAGCTTTCCAAAGTTACAAAGGTTATTCTTATAAATGTCTTGTAAGTTTGTGGGTGTAGTACGCGAAACTTACTCCACTTACCGCCTCCCCCCCATATTTGTTGATATGTTCATATGATAGATATTCAGATGAATAACAATGTTCTATAAAAGGGAATTGAAAAACGAATTGCGGTGGAAAAGAAGTGTAATAAATTTGCTCCTGAATTTTGAAGGAAAGAAAATAATTGAACTTACTTAGGTCGTAAGTTAACATGAAAATTAACTTTCTGTTTTTACTTACGTGTTTTACTGACATTGAAACCCTGTTGCTACTTATCCGGTGAAGCATTTTCTCCTACCAGTTAGTATAAATACATGTGTGATCAACGTCCTATTCCGTTGATACCAACTCAATGCTAGAAGCTAGGGATGGTGCAGCACTAGTTAGTTAACGGTTATTTATTCTTTTTAAGGATAAGTGATTTCGTCAAGTTATGAAAATTTTTTCAAGCGTTTAAAATGTAACTGTG